AATATCAATTGACAAGTTGATGGCTTTTTCCTTTTCTTCCTTTGGCTTCTCTTGAACTGTGACATTTTATCCCCTCAGTTAGAAGGCTTGTTAGGCAGAGGCTGTACTAAGAAGGATGTTCTGTGAAAAACTAGGGCAAGGTCTCTGCACTGTGTGTTCTGACAAATTTGCGCACTTAGTTACATGACTCACTTATAGACTGAAACCAGAAGAAGTAAAAATTTTTCATATTTTAAGTAGATGATGGTGGAAAGAAATGAAGTAATTTTAGTGAAAATTACTATTTTTTTTTTAAAGTTCTACTTAGAAACTTCCGATCTTTCATGAACGTTAACAGTTACCTCTTAAGAAAGATACTTAAGTGTACATTATGAGGCATAAATTTTGATGCTCATTTGTGTAGGCTAACTAAGGTCTGACCTAGATTGAGGGAACCTTTCTTACGACATGGGTGAGAATGACTGATGCTTCCCAGGACAATCTGGAATACCAAAGCAATTAATAAGAATATTGCCCATTCAATGTGAAATTCTAGGAAAGGTCTATTCAACTTACAGGGTCACGCACCACTTCTAAATTTGTTTTTTTTACTAGGAATAAAGCCTATGGTTAATTTAAACTTTAATATATTTGCTTCTGTTCACAGGCTACCAGATTTGGATCTCAAGCAAGTCAAAAGGTGATTATAAATTTAGCTGTGCTTTACTGATAGTAGCTGGCTATAAATGTCATGCATTTACCCGCACCAATTGATTTAGATTTGATCATCAAGAGACCAATGTGTTTATCCTTCATGGTACATAATGATATTTTAGGATGTCATCTGAAAGAATTTAGATTTTATTTGCATGGAGATTACAATCAACTGCCATAAACATATTAAGCAGGAAACAAATAGTGGTAGTTCTGCTGTTTACATAACTGTAGGGGGTATTTGATAGGCAGTAAAATTAAATGCTTTAATTCATGTTTGCAGCCATAAAATATGCTGGTGATTTTATTTTTGTGAAGCTTGAATGTGGTCTATCTGAATTAGTTTTCTGCTCTAGGTTATTCAGCGGAATGCAAGCCATCATTCCATTGCTAAATCCTAATAGTATATTATAAATGTAATCTGCTTAATATTAGAGTTAACTTGCCTGCGTGTTTTTAAAAAAGTGACAACTATATTCTCTTTCAAACTAAGATAAGCAGAGAGACAGTCAGACCTGAATTATGCAGAGCTCTGGCATTAGCAAGATCTGTTTACATTGAAAACTTTTAAATTAAAATGCAGAAATCTATAAACAGGATTCTTCACGTGCCACTGTTCCGAGTGAGAGAGGGCTTATATATATTCATATATGTTATAGGGAATTTTACTCTGAACTGAGAGTCGTCTTGTACGTATAGCATTAGCCTGGCATGCTTCCCCATGAGCATAGGATACAATTGCTCAAAACAAATACAAAACTGCAGGAGTTGGTGTTCGAACACCAACTGCCGTAGGATATCAGTATTCCACATAGCAAGCCAAACTTCCGCGTGTTTTGCAGGATTAACAAAAATGTCTTGTGTAAGCACACAAACCTGATGCTTAGAAGCTTTAGAATATTTGCTGCTTGGCTTATGTAAGAAAAGTGTAGTGTTCTACGAGCCATCCTTTTTCACTACGTCCAGCAGTTTGCTTTTTAGAAACTTGTCCTTCCTTTAGTATTATCAGCATTTGTATGCATCTGTAAATATAGTATGAAGTGTAAAAGCTCATCACAGCTACTGACAAGAACCTCAGCAGCATGTTGCTAAGCCCTGTTACTGTAGCTTAAATTTTGTTCCTGAAACATCTGATCTGTTGCTCTGTAGCACGAATATAACCTCTCTTTGATGTAATACGTTGATTAAAAGTGTATTTGATGTCCACTGGCCAAATGTATTCACTGTTTGTCTTGTCAGTAGATGTTAAAATTTGAAAAGGTTCATGCTACTTAACTTGCCTGAAAAAAATGCTTCTAGTTTTTTGCTAAAAGCTGCTTCTTCTACCTTCCTTGCTCTTTCTTTTTTGCTGTCTGGGTAAAGTTTTGGGGCTACAAGCAGCAGCCAGAGCCGGTAACGCCCTCACGTATATTCTCATGCATGGACTCCTTGTCACTGTTCGTGCTAAATATGTGCATTTGCTCTTGAGCTGTCTTTTTTGCCTTAAGTCAAATCTGTTTAGAATAATGTTGTGTGTTTCATACAGTAATGTTTCTTCAAACCTACTTTAAAATGGGTTAAATTGGATAGAGATATCCAAGCTCTGCACTCTCAGAAAGCATTCTGTACTTCTGCCCATGCTTTTCATAAGCACTGGTGATTTCGAGATCTCCTTTTGCATGTCTGATTCGGGAATGCTGTGTACCAAGAATTATACTGGGGTGTTGTTTGAAGGCAGACTCTGTAAGAAGTACCCCATTATGTAGTGTCTGTAGCGGTGGGTAAGATGCTATTCTAACTTCAACAACGATAAATATGAAGTGATTCAAAAGGGAACACAGTTTTATCCAAATCTCCCTTTTCTGCATTTACAAAACTATGCGATTGAGTAAATGGGATTATGGGAGACTTCTCCCTGATTCTAGCAATGACTTCACTTAGCACACCTCCACTATTAGATTTATTGTATTCAACTTTTTGTTAAGTAAGATAAGCAGTTAATTTATCACATTTAATAGACTCTGCTGAGTTATTTCTCATCTTTGGAAAATCCTGTTCAATCCCCTTTGTTGTTTTTCTTGAACACTTTTAGCCTGACTTCCTATGGAAAAAAAAACCTTATGTGATTTGATTTCACGTTTCTTACAAGGTTGAAACAGGGTTACCTTTATCCTTGGCCTTCTCAGATAGCTTTCAAATTGTTAAGGAGTAAAAATATTGGAGATAGTGGTAGTTGGGTAGAGGGCAGATCCTAGCAGCACTGTGGCTGAGGGAAGGGCTTTTTAGACACCTGGGAATCTGGGGAGGAAACACGTTCACATATGCTCCATCCCGAGGAGGAACTCAGTGAAGGCTCGTACCCTAACCAATGGTAGTCAGTCACATACCATGCAAACCTGTAGGAAGCTAAACTTCATTAGTCCCTGTGCTAATGGGTGGTAACGGTGTTTGTCTTGCAAGCACTGGTTAGGCCGTTTGGACTAATCAGTGGGCTAATTTAGAAATTAATCAGTAGAATATATTTGCCAATTCTGAAGAAAAGCAACTATTACAGGCTTATTATGGTAGTAGGTAAAGAAATGATTTCACATGAAGCATTTGCAAACCCTGCTGTCCTTGTCAATATGATTATTTTATAAAAATCATTTTGTAATATAGACTATGGACTTGGGTTTTTGTAAGCTTGCCTCTGAAGTACAACGACCTTATGCATCTTTCTTCTGGATTGTTAGGAATATCTGAATTTCATTGTTTTCTCTCCCTGCAAACCTGGAGGCAGCAAAAAAGTTGTAAAAATCTTCTGTCACAACTTTGACTCTTGTGTATTGCCTAGAAACAGAGCTGGATTGCTGTTAATAGATGACATCAGCAGCCTTACAAGACAGAAGAACTGGTGAAAAATTGGAGCTGAAAAGGCCTAATCCTATGAGTAATCCCATTAATTAGAAAAAGTAAGGGTGGGAGAGGTTGATTTTTCTCAAACATTCAGCTGCAGATATTAGCAAAGAGCCCACCTTCCAGGTTGTTGCTGACTGAAACATTGCTTCTGCTTCCAGTGCAAGGTCAGACTTTGCTTGGGCACTGGGCATTTCCCCCAATCTGTGGCCATGTGCATCTGTTTTGAAATTTGTTTTCTTGTAATGTTTTCTGCAGCACTTTTCTGTATGTGCTTTCAGCTCATTCTGCTTGTACGAATCAAAGCTTCAGGCTTTATGTGTTTTTGGAGATACTGCTAAGAAACTCATCTGCAGGGAATGTTGGCTGTGTTTTTTTATAAAGGAAAATATAACTGACTTTGTTTTTTGTTTTGCTTTTAAATAGGCATCAGAGTTAGGTCAGACATTAAATGAAAATGTTCTCAAACCTGCACAGGAAAAGGTAACTTTGGAACTAGTAAATTACTTACAGAACATGATTATGATGCCTTGGGGAGTGATTGTTTCCTCCCATGATAACTATCCAGTTTGTCGATGCATCCTTCCGTTTTTATATACTAGCACAGTAGCAGAGGGGAAACATCAAATAATTCAGTGTTAATATAGTAGGAAAGAAATGTTAATGGGGCATATTTTCCCCCACCAATCTTACCTATGTCCACAAAAGTCTTATCTCTTACTTTCTTTCCCCGTTAGGTAGTCTTTCATAGATATTGTCCTTTCAGTGGTGGACACCTTACATGGATAGAGAAATCAGTCATAAACTTTTTATTACTGATATCTTTGAGTATTACGTTCAAAGTGTTTCTCCCATCTGCCTACCAGTGTTGTTTTTTTTTAATTCAGCCCAGTGTCTTTGAGCCCCATTAGATCATCTGCTGCCACACCAGGGGCAGTAGAACTTGGAGCAATATGTATATTTAAGATGAATAGGGACAATTTATTAATACAAATAATATGTTATTGTAACTTTTATTTAGTATTCTTTCAAAATCTTATGTTAATCTGTTAATATCAAGGTTTTCATGCATTCATAAGCAAAGTATGCTCTAAAGTAACATTAGTCATTCTCATTGCTTTGTTGTTTCTAGGAAACCAAAATAGTCTGAAGTCGATCTTTTTTTGTCTTCCTTTTACAATTGTTAATGACCGCAAACATGTAGCTAATGGCACTTTCAACAGTACTGAATGGAGAGCACACATTATATTAATCTGGGTAAATATTGATCAGTGGTCAGCATAAAAAAGCAAGGCAGTTGGTCCTCCTAAGTGACTAATAATAGCTGATTTTTACCTGTTTTAGTCAAAAGATTCTCCAGTGTCAAATGTTGCCTTCCTGTTTTGTATGTTAGAAGAAATCACTCTCTATGTACACACGCGCACACACAACACACGCGCACACACACACACTGTTACATCTTACACGTTTGGCATGGATTTGTTCTGTGCTTCTAGAATTTTTTGGATTAACTCCAAGATTTTGATAATACCTTTTCTGAGGATGTGGTGATCTTAATTACCTACATATCTTTTCCAAAATACATTGTTTTTGATAAAGCAGACTAATTTTGTTTTCATAAGAAAATCAATGCTATCACTTTGGAATATGGATTAATTTTCAATTTGAAAAGTATGATTTAATCACCTCAGAAAATAATTTCTTTTGCATTATATTTGTTAATTCAACTTTCTTTACATAGCATCTCAAATCACAGGAGAAAAGTCTAATTGGTTTCCTATTCCCTAGAATTATCCACAGTTTATTTTAGAGTGCTTAGATATATTATTTTTAGCATACATTTCATTGAGCTGACTTAGATTTTGTAGCACTATTTAATGAGAAATGTTGCACCCTACTTTAAAAAAAAAAAAAAGGGGGGGGGAGGAGGGGAGAGCGTATTTCCCTTAGGATGTTGTGTTGCAAGTTCTAAATAAGTGTTACGTTCTAAAGTATGTATTCAGTGATGGCCTGGCACATGTGATTATAAAGTCACTTGCTTTGGAATGACTGTAGGTTATTAGCTGGTGAAGGACACCAAATTTCAGAGCCCTTTTAATATTTACATAAGCATTTATAAAAGATAATATAGATCCGATAGGCTTTTAATTTTGCTGCTTTTAACCTCCCCCAAACAGTTTTTTTTTTCTAATGCAATAAAATATATTCTTTATAAAAGCTAAATTTGGAGGGTTTTTTTTAAGCCAATGTGTTTGATTTTAATGTTTAGTGTTAATGTAATGATACCTTCCTCAAACTCTAGATATTTCAGTAGAAAATTCCCATAAACATCAAAGGACTGAGATTCACCCCATTAGACAGACTTTATGGATTTTATTTTCTTAGCCTTGTTATTTGAATTAAGTATATTTTGATTCACCTTTTAAAAATTTTTTTATTTTTAGCTCTTACCATAAGTAAGCTTGTTTTAAGGTGTCACAATACTTTTGTTTTATGATTAATTACTAATACTTTGATTCATGTAGGTGAAAGAGGGGAAAATTTTTGAGGAGGTCACCGTGGGGGTATCACAGTTGGCCAGCAAGGTATGAAGTGGCCTGCTTGCCTTTGAGGAGGCCAAACACCAAGCCAGTCTCCATATTCTTAAGTTTTTTTTACTGGAAGAAAACCCCAAAGCAGCTTTAGTCTCTGCATATGTTGAACGCAGTTAAGTTTGCACATTGTAGTTTTCAATGTGCAATACTTGTGCTTTAGTATTGAAGAAGTCTATACAGATATGATGTAATCGTCACAATGGCTGCACTGATGTGAAGTTGTGAGACAGTTGGTGTCCCAAACACAAAAGGGAACCGTCTGCTAGAGAATATGGAGACAGCTTGCATTATTTTTGTACAGTTAAACTTACTAATGTTTTGAATCTTTCTTTGTCTTTGTTCTTTTGCTATCATTATTTGGTAATGTGGTAAGTGCTCTCTGCAGTACTCTGTTCTCAGCAACTGTAGAATCTAATGTGTGGTTTGATAACTTCTGTGGTATTAACATGGGAGGGCCTATCTTTCTAGCGCAGTGAATGTCGACACCGGAAGCCGTATCATGTGCCATTTTAGTGTCTTACTTTATTCAAATATTTGTAACATTTAAGTTCTTACGAGGTCTTTTTTCACTTAAAGCCTGCCAACTTTTCTGGGACCCATCCTTAGTATTTGTGACTTAGAATAGTGACTTCCATTGATGTCACTTCAGAATTCATGTTTCTAGCACAACGCCAATCTGACATATCCCCAGACGGATTCCTTTAGCAGTCATATTTATTCTAGAACTTCACTTTTGGCCTGTTGCATGAGCACTGAAATAAAACTACTGAAAATGTGTGAAAGCAGTTTTGTAAAACAACTTAAATGTAATCTAATCGCATACGTTGTAATACTTCTTGGTAACGTCGGAGCACTAATACTGTCATTACGTTGCTTAAGATGGACTCTAAGTTCTTAAAAATTATTATGCTCTAGTAATTTAAAAGATCTAGACAGTCTTCCTAATCTGAATTTTTCATATTAGCACACTTTAAGTTTTTTCTGCTTACAAAAACATCCTTAAGTAGTTTCTCCTCATGTGCCTCATGTATATAGCTCAGTGACTGAGGCCTCTAACTTTTACATTTGACAGAGCATCCATACAAAGCTGGTTAGGAAACACATGGCAGTGCAAATCAGCTTTCAAACTAGTGAAAAGGTACTTTAGTGAGCGGAACTGGAGCTTATTTGATTTCAGAGCACCTGCTACTTACGTGCTGAAGTGGGTGCATCCAGCTGAAACAAGTTCTAAAAATGTAGAGAGTCTATTTCTGCTGACTCTGTCCGGCTTTTATAGTAGTGCACAATACCTGGGAAATACTACTATTATGAGTTGCTAATATTTAGCAATTTATGCAAGGAGTAGTTCCAGCATTTTTGTCAAGAAAGCTTAGGACAGAATTCAAAGCTGTTACTGACAACAGTGGGTGAAAAAGCTGAGCTTGACCTACTTTTTCACATCTTCCAGCAACACAGTGCTGTCAAATGTATTTTCTTTACATCAACCTTTTAATTCCTCATCAAAAATATTAATGCCTGGTGAGTGAAATTTTTTGATGAAATATGTTATCTTCATTTCAACAAGTGGAGGAATGTGTGGTGGTTTTTGCTGTTTGGGTGATTAGAGCAGATGTTGGTTCTGTCCAGATAAACAGTGTCCTTTTTCTCTAGGTTCAGGGAGTTCGAAGTAAGGGATGGCGAGACGTCACCACTTTCTTTTCTGGCAAAACAGATGATAATTGTGAAAGGTATTTTTTTTTTAATTATTGTTTTCTCTGTCCCTTTAAACACATAGTTTCAACTCTTGTACGTTCCCTGTAATATAGGAGTTGCAGGTAATTTTTAAATCTGAAGAAATTATTCTGCCTCTTGGGACTACTTTGCTAGTAGTCCTTCTGTATGTAATACACAGGCATATAAAGCTCGACTCAGTCAAACTGTTTATTTATGCCAGTTGTTAAACTGAGAGAAAAGAGAAAAAAACACGCCAAACGCCCCCCCCCCCCCGCCCTTACTATTTTAGACTATGACCAAAATCTGTGAATTGGAGTACAAGCTTATGCCGCTCTGAGCAATACATCTAGTTTTTCTGCCTTTATCTTCGTTTTTTGTTTGCGCAAAGGATAGTAGCATTATAATTTTCTTTGTTTATGGTCATTTATGTCATAACTGATTTTTTTCCTCCTCCCTTTTCTTGTCTCCCATAAAAGACCAGCTGAGGGAGACAGCTACCAGAACAGTGGAGGGGAGGGCTACCAGAACAATGCTGTAGATCAAAGCTTCTGGGAGACCTTTGGCAACTCAGACCCACCAAAAGCTCATAAATCTCCGAGCAGTGAGAGCTGGACGTATGTGGACAATTCCACAGAGAAGAAGAGCTCCGATAGCTGGGACGTGTGGGGTTCAGGAACAGTCTCCAACAACAAGAACAGTAACAGCGACAGCTGGGAAAATTGGGAGACCAACTGGGAAAACACAGGAGGGGAGAGCAAGACTAAAAAGCCTCCTAAGGCAACAAAAAAGGCATCTTCAGCTGATGATGGGTGGGATAACCAGAACTGGTAGAACTCTGTTAACCCTGTTTTGCACAGCTAGGGAAAGGAGGCTATGCTGGCTGATTGAGGGGAGAGAGTTTCACATACAGTTTGATTATCTTGGTTGACCGTGCTGGTCTATTACTTTTGTGCTTCCTTCCCATTCATTCTCCTTTCTTCTATCCAAGTTTAGGGAAAAAAAATAGTGTCTGAATCCTGTTACTATGTAAAGATGGCTCTCCCATTTTTAAGGATAACGATAAATATAATCTCCTTGCACTATTGAAGCTGGGTACAGTAACTTTCTTAACAGGGAGGTTCACAGGAAAAAAAAGTGCAAGCACATTTTCATGGCACAACCTTGCATGTGTAGTTTTATAGGTCTTCATCCAGTCTTCATATAATTTGAGATGACCTGAAGTGTTTAATACAAACAAAGGAGAGGGTATATCTTAAAAAGAGAGCCATTAAATAAGCAAATTGCAGTTGCACAGTTCTAGTTCAATGCCTTATGGATTGCTGGGACCACATTACATCTGGCAATTCAAAATGGTATTTAAGATACTTTTTATTGGAGATATGTTTTTAAACTTTATGAGGTGTGAAGACTTTTAAAACTTTTCTCTCCTTAGAAGTAATAAAGAATCTAGAGCCAGATAATGACTTGTAATAACAGTGTGAGCTGCCAAAAGAGATTTAGGATGGCTCTACTTGCCCTTCTTACTCATTTGGTTAAGAGTTTACACAGTGCAGCTTTCCTCCACATGTAATGTAAAGCTGTGAAACTCTCCTTCTTTTTCTGTACTCCTCCCCCAATTTGAGTATTAGTAGAGTCTGTCTTTTCTGTCTGATTTTCTTCCTTCTACCCTTCTATTTCATCTGTCCTGATAAGTTACATCTTTCTTTTCTGCTGCTTATGGCCTTTTGGACGTTTACTTGGCAGCTTGGCAGTGTAGCAAACTTGTTAAAAAATACAGTTAGAAAAAATAGGTGGAAAATATGAGAACATCGGGGAGAGAGGCTGGCAGCAAGCCCCTTTCCAGATGAGTAGATGTCTGGATTTAATAGTCAAACTTAAATTAAGTAGATGTTTTCAAAATTAATCATTAATTTGTCAAACTGTATCTCTCTTTCTATTATGTCTTTCTCCAGATTTTCTTCCTGGACCTTGTTAAAGGAAACACTATTTTGGAAACTTTAGAAAGTTCTTGTCAGCATTAAGGAATGGAATAGGAGATTGTTATGTCACGGTTTTGACCCAACAAACTGGTTTGCATGACACACACACCATAACTTTTGTGGAAAAATTGGGACTCCTGCCTTTAACAGCAAAGGCTTCTTATGTATGCCTACTAGTTCTGTTTTGGGGGGTGGGATAAATAGCTGAAAATAATCAGCTCATTTGAAAACTGTAAATCATGATGTCTTTGTGTGGTCTGCTTTGGTACCAATATGGAGTTCTTTTCTGTGCATCCTGTAAATCTTAAAACATGTCCAAAAAACCTTTTACTTAAATGAGTTAATTGTTCAAGCAAGTGATCAACCTCGGTTGTCCAAGTTATCTCAAGTAATGCTTTATTTCTTTTCCCTTCACAGAGGTTTTCAAGTTTATACTAATAGTCAAAAGTCAAGAGGCCATATAATTGTATTCAGCAGCAAAGACAGAAAGGGAATGGTGAGGGAAATTGAATTACATAGTTTTTAAAGTAACAGTTTTTAAAGATTTACAGTCTGAGTAAGAGCATCTCTGTTTATATCCCTGAATTCTGATCTTGCAGAACCCCTGCTGTCTTTCTATTCATATGATCTTTTAGATGGTCAAAAAAATAATTTTCTAGCTTTCTCTAGCCTTCTCCTACAAAAGTTGGGATTTTTTTTTCTTTTTGCTTCTCCTGATAAAAGCGTTTCTGAATCTAGTGCAGTTGCAGGAGCCAGTACTGCTCATGACCCAAGCACCAGTGTAGGCTGAGCCATGCCAGTTGTGTGAAGCGTCCTTGCTGACACGATGAGCCTGTGGAAGTGACAAAGGCAGGAGAGATCTTAATTTTCAATGCTGCTTGTGGTACTGTTGGAAAACAAGGTTTACAGCCTGACTATAAAACAAGGATTTTGTTCTATGTTTTCTTCTGTTCTATGTTTTCTTCTGTTCCAGATATACCTTTGTCATAGCTTAATTGCGTGTCATACATGTAACTTTGTATTTTTATGCATACACTTCTGTTGCCTTATTCTTGTCATTTGTCTGCTGCCCAGTACAAAACTGTAAGGCATGTACCCTGAAGGCCATGGTGTGTAATTTATATGAATCGGCACTGCCAAATCCTTGACTGACAGTTAATCTTTGAAGTGTTGCAGTAATGGTGGCGGTGTAATGCATCTGACCGGTTGCATTATCTGACTGCTGATGTCTGTCTGAGGTGATGTGAAGCTGATTCAGCTTCCTGTGTACAAATTTATTACGGTTTCTCTTTCATAAACCTCCTGCAATAGTTTGTAGGAGGATAAGCTTTATTTCAATCCATTCAGTCAATAATACTGTGATGTGTATGTGTACATTCTCCTCAGCTGTGTGTTTAGCCTAGGAGAAAACTGATTTACTTGTACATCACTTGGAGCTGCAACTGGCATTAGCCATTTGTTTGTCGGATGGGTGCTTGTTTTCCCCTTGTTTGTTTTAGGATTTTTGTTTGTTCGTTTGTTTTTTGAGACTTCAGGTTCTGAATTAAACAGCCAGAGTCCTACTAAGGCAAATGTTTTGGAATATTGTTTTTTTTTTTCCAGTTAAGTAGACAGTGACAGAAAAGTTGCCTTCTTTAGGTACTGCTGTTGAGATGCAAGGATACAACTCCCAGAAAGGTGTTAGTGGAAGATACTGAAAAACAATGTAACTCAAGAGCTGGCAGAAACTAAAGCTGCAGTGACAAAGCTAATGTGTCTCAGTTTGACAGGTGAATCAACATTTTTGACTTGTCTGAATCTGAATGATTTACCAAGTCTTCCAGAGGAGATGATGAAATGAGGGCGTTTTCTGTTGCAAAGCCTCCGTTTATTTGATTTTACTCTTTCAAAGAGTAGATGACTAGGATGTTAGGACGTGTCTGCTTTGGAAAGCAGTTTGGTAGGATGTGTACAATCAGGCTGGATGTGTGGAGGGAGCGTTTGGGAGTCAGTTTTCATTATGTACTGGATTTTCTTACCCCTTGCTTTTTTTTTTTTTTTCCCCTCCTGTCTCCTCAATCATGAGCTCTGTAAACAAAGGCACTGATTATAGCTTGGCAGAGCTGAAGCTGCCTCCCTAAAGGTGTGGCTTATTGATGAGTTTAATTCAGCATCTAGGCAGGCAAGGCTCTAGTATTCCTGTACTTCAGTCCTGCACCTTTTAGTAATGCTTTTAAAAGTCATACAAGCAGATTGCTTGGAGTGAGGGCTGCAGGTGAAATAACACCTGGGCAATTGCAACATTTGGGCATTGCAACATTTTTCAAATTTCCTAGTGTTTCAAACTTTGTTTTATTCCTTTGTATGGCTTCAACTTTGGAAGACACAGAGCAGCTGGATTCCTGCCAATAGTCTGAAATCAGAGAAACTTCAAGACATTCAAATTGAGTGCCACTTGCAAAGGAGAAGAAGTCTTGGTGAGTGTTCCCAAGGCAGGAACTGAATCTAATTCTAGGAGTTAGGGATTATTTTAAAATGTTTCATTTTTGTCTTGAAGCCTGTTAATAACTATTGCATTTCAAGAAGTGCTTGTCCAACTCTTCCTTATGGTTGAGGTTTCAAGGATAATGCTGCTGCTTTTATTTTTCACTCCGAACTGTGTAACATTCCATGGGTTCATAATGTATTTATCAGTGTAATAATCTGTGCAATAATTTAACAAGTGTAGGTAAAACTTTTGTTGTTTAGTCCAGGATACATTTAAAGATACAGTGGTCCTCTTTGAGAGTAGCAGTCAACCAAGGTATTTCCGTTTTCACCTTGCTTTGGTGACATTAAATTCCACTAACTCTGTCAAGGAGGGCTTGAACAATTGGTTATTTAAACAGAAATCAAGAAACACTGTAACGCCCATTATTAGAGTTTTATTGTAATGGCTTAGAACGACCTCTTGAAGCCTCTTCTGCTTTTCCTGCCAACAGAAATTTGGTCAGTGTGGAATACTGTATCTTTAATTTTCCTGATGTGTTTTATGTGAATTTCACAGGAATGGCAATTCCAGTGAATGCTATTCATTGTTTTGTAGAGTGGTACTAGACTTGAATTGCAGTGTCATCTTTTGAAAGAACATTATAATAAAGCAAAGAGATATGGAGCGGAATGGTGTTTAGCCCTTTTTCAGGAGGCTTCAGTTAATTTTAAAGGCCCTAGGAAAAATCATCGATTTGCATCAGTCTGACTTGTCTAGAGTGTGACAAAGGCTGACTTATGCGGCCTTTTGGTTGGAGGGGTGGCTAGAATTGGCTCCGTTGGTTCCATGGAATTGGTCTCTCTAAGCAATGAAGTAGCTTAATTCTCAGTATAGTTGGATCATAGAATAAAGTCAAATGGGATGCTTCCTAATTAAGAAAATAGGAAAGTATCGCTACAGTATCAGCATGAAAATGTCTTGTTGGAGGAAAGTAACTGACATATTGATCCTTAACATGAAATTGCAGGACAGTCAAACAGTATAAATGTATGTTCTGGTGTGCTGTTGTCTTGCACATTCTTAACTGGAGGTCAGGGGTAATGTTATGAATCGTTCTCTGCCAGCGATGAAGGAGAAAGGAAGCCGCCAGTCAGTGTTGATGACAGAGCTGAGAGCAGGTATTTCATCTTTACATTTCATAGTCTAACTTTAAATGCCATTTTAAGATTTATTTAAGTTAGGAACAGTTTCAAACAGTATTGGTTGTCCGCTTTAAATAAAGTGAACCGAAATAGAAGTTAAGGTAGTTGCACATGGATTTATGCATTACTAGATTTTATTAGTTTGTCTGCAAAGGCACTTAATCACCATGAAAAAGCAAATTTTTAAAAGAATTTTTTCCATCCAAGAAACTAAATTCCTTTGAATACTTCAGGTGATGGTGATTCCTCATGATCAGATTCAGTTTTCTTCAATTAGCCAGTCGTGTGATGATTCATCATTGCACTGACCTTTATGCAAATTTAAAATCTCTCTTACTATGTTATCGGTCAGCAGGGTTGAACCCTGCTTACCTTGTGCCAGTAACTGTAGTGGTTTTCACACAGAAAAGTGGACGTTTTGGTAACTGAACTAGTAGTATTCCACTGATGCGCCATGTCTGTTCTTGCCGTAACATCCTGTGGTAAGGGTTGCTGTGTGTATTGAATATAAAGCTTTTAGCAGGAATTACATCAGATAAGCAGGATATGCTAGTTTTGGAGGGAGTCTTTTAGGCCCTTTCTTCTGAAAGCATATGGAGGCCAGTTACCTAGAAACATAGAAAATACCATGAAAAACAATAATATATATTTGAAGCTCAAACTGAGCACAATCAGCAAAAGCTGAGAAGACTGTGTAGACCAGAAAATACCATACTCATTGACTTGAGGAAAACCAGATCACTACTACCATTATGACACCCATCTTACTTTTACTGAGTAACTTTGTTCCTTTTCAGCTGTCTTTTTGTGCTGTGATCCCAATTACTTGAGCAAATTCAGTTTCAAGCTGCCTTTACCGTTACATAGCTGCTTATATATATATGCTTTTATAGCAGACTGGCTCAGAAGAAGGCTGCTTGTGTCTCTTTGGGTTCACAGCCCATTGATTTTAAGGAATCGAATGGTTGTGCATTCTACGATTTTTGAGAGCAGACAGTTAGGAAGCATCCTGGATGTGCTGAATTAGTGGCAGACTTCATGAGATAGCGTGACTGCTTTCCTGAAACAAAGTCCCAAGCTACTAACTGTAAAGTTTGGGGTTCACCTCTCATACACTATAGCTATGTCAGTAGTTTCATCACCATAAGCTCTTTCTTTTGAGATGTGCTTTTGGTTCTTCCCGGAGCTGGCTGGCTTCCATATCTTCCCCAAAGTGCACTGGCTTAGACCAGTACACAGATACCCCAGTACAGTATAGGAATCTAGACAGAGTGAAGGCTGTTCCCTTCCCCGCTGCTTTGACAAAGGTTTGCTGGATGTGGCTGTTGTGTGAAAACTGAAAGTCCTGAAAGGAAATTGAAATGGAGTAGGGTTGTCCTGTTTGGAAGCAGTAAAATTCACAGTTCCCACACAAGTGCAGCATAGTCATTCATCATCCTTTAAGTCACTCATCTGCAAGTAGGAAAAGATGTGTTGCCTGTCTGTTTTAGCTCCAGCTGTTGATGCTCTGCCAGCAAGAAGCTGTATGTCATCAGGAACACAGGAGAAGAATGGTCACTCTCCTCTTAATACTTCTTTTAAGCAAGAAGAAGCTTTTTCATGTGTGTGTGTGTTTTTTTTTTTTTTTTCTTGATCCTCAAATCACAGTTTGCCTCCAGGCTCTGAATTTCAGCAATGCTGCCAGAATGGCTGCATTTAAACTGGCCAGAAATGGAGAGGATGAAATAAATATCAAAGAGAGATATTTAGAGACCTCATTAGGAGAAGACTACTCATGCTTGCAGTCACTGAGTGCAAGTGGAAGAGACTGATTCTCGCAGGCTATGGTGATTACAAGGACTGCCAGGACTACAGTTGTGTGGTGCCTCACCAGGACTGATTGCTGCTCAAGCAGGAAAATCCAGTACTATCAGCTCTTCACAGTTTGTAAACTGATCTTTGTCTTTCCCTTTAAGCTCTGTCAAACTGTGTTCCCTCTGAGAGGCTGTTCAGCTTTGAGGTTGTTGAATTTTATGGTAGATAAATTGGCTTCTGCCAGGAAACACCGAAAGACTGGAGTGTGTCTGTCGGAAAAAAATGTTTCGTTCACTTCTGATTGAAGTGCTACTGCCTAGTATCTGCAGTATCTTCACCGGATTGCTCAAATTGTCTTAAATATAACCGTGTTTAACCTTGACTATATAGGGCCAGTATACACAGTTTATTCTGCTGAAAAGTATGTTTAATAAATGTAAATAGATGTACCAGACCATATGAGGGAGGTTATGATCAAGGTCAGACTTGGAATTACTTCTTCTTTACAAAAACCCTTCTGTGTTTTGTTACTGTGTATGCCTGTTATATGCTATAGTTCAGGAGCAAATTGCTATTTTAAATCTTGTTTTTACAAATTTCTTTCGACTCCAGCGATCAGCTGTCACTTCTGTGGTGGACATCAGTACGGTGCGCTGGACTTGAATTGCAAATTCAATCCACCTGGACAGGGCTTTCCATATACCCCCAGCTTTGACCTGACTTTCCTATTGAAGTTGATGTGAGCTTAACCACAAGATTTGGTGGAAGCAGAATCAGTTCAACAGGCAGTCCTGAATACGATGATGTCTTATTACTCTGCTTTGTTTGTATTTTCTCTGAGATGCTGTCTAACCCTACTCAGACCAAGTCTAGATGATGTGGTGGTTACAACACTGACACTACTCTTGATACCCTATAGCCATACTCACCTAACTTCAATACAGCTACATTATGTAAGATGTTTATAGGTAATATGTGATTCAAGTAGGCATGAAGCTTGACTCAAGCTCTTATTCTTCCAAGTACAAAGAAATACTGTGATTGCTTCAGGAAAGTTGGAAAGTCTTGAAAGCAAAACTGTACTGCAGTGGAATGTCTCCCTTTCCTTGGTAAATAGGTTTGTTTTAAGCAATTAGTCTATATTTTAAGTCTATTGTAATTAAAACTTTGCCTTTTCTATTTTGCAGAGATTGGTAGATGGTAGTAGGAACCAATTGGTAGATTGGTAGTAGGTAGTGGTTGGAAATGTTGCAGTAAAATGATCTTGCAGTAGGAGACATTGTCTTATTAAAAAGGAAACTGTTCACAGGGATAATTTCAACGATGATTCCCTCCCTGGAGTTTTGGGAGGGAGTTTTGAGAGCTCTCATGCTCACTGACATGCCATGGGATACTGCCCAAGGTTTGCGTTCAATCCCCTGCACTGCTGTTGCTCCGTGTTTTTACTGTATGCCTTGGCCTTTGTCCTGTATCCGAGTGCAGTCCTTCCTATTTATTCTCTAGATCAGAGGATGTGTGATGCTGCTCCCCCGTGATGTCTCAAAGGACTGCTTCTACTAAAGATGCTTATGTAGCTTATTTTGCGAGTTGCCTGTATAATCTGCATGCATACAGCACTTACCATTCAACTTGGGCTCCCAGGTGTTACTGCAGTGCAGACAATAGAGAGAACTTGAACCTCAAACCTCTGGCAAATCCCTTAAGCTTGCCCATATCAAAGAGTGTTTCTAAGCTGGTCACGGAACTTTGGTGTGGAGCACACAACACACAAAGAAAGTGGAATAAATACCTTTTGTGTAGCCTAGACTGCCAGCAATATCTGAACTAGGTAATTGCTGCAGAATAGACTTTCCTTTTTCCACATCTGTTAAAAGCATGTCTTATCCATGATGCTGTTTATGCAGAGCTTTTTTCATCTGTGAAAGACCACATACGCTGTTGGCCCTGCTTGTGATGCAGTCCAGAGGCTCATCTGTCTTTTGTCATTCATGAGCAGTCTCCTTCCAGAATCCCCAAGGGATCAGAGGTGAAACAAGTCTGCTGTACTTGGCCACCACTTTCAGAGGAATGGGAGATCAAGTAAGAAAACTAAAGGTGACGTGTTAAGGTGAAGTGTGTCTGAATATCCGTGGAAGTAGGAAATAATCATGCTGTGAATAGCCTCTTCATGGCACCAGCTCAGAACCAGTAAGTTCTCTTTGGGCCATTTACTATTTGCATTTGTAATCTTGGCACTAGCTAGGCTCTGCAGAGGGTGTTCCTTTGGGCTGAAACATCTATTCCAGATCAGACCTGGTGCATACCCTCTTATTTTGCACAGACTGAGATCAAGGCCTGGGGCAATGTACAAACTCATAGAAGATGCCCCTTTTGGGAGCTTGTAGTCAGAGTTCACGTTGCTGGTTAAATAGTCTCACTTCTCCATCCTTCCTCTAGAGGGGATTATTTTACTATGCACAGCTCTTGAAGGAAGCCAGCTTAAATGAAGGTTTGAATAGCTGGATGCAGGGTTAGAAACTTGCTTCTGCTTGTGTAGCTGCTTATCTGCAGTACTGTCCTGTCCTCGACTTTCGTGCTGTGTTAAGCCTGCATGATGGTAATTCACCGCCCCCAACCACACATACGTATCTCTTTGGTTTTACTTCCTACCTTGTGATTTTGGCTCTCATGTCTCTCTGGCTGAATGTACCCAGATGGATAAAGCCAGTTTAAAGTTCAGGCTGCAATAAATCAGATTCGAGGCTGCTATGTTAACACGGTTAACATCACAGGTGCTTTGTTGTTAAACCAATGTAACAGCCCTGTTTCATAAGGGAAGCAGTAGACTCTTGTGGCAGAGAAGCAGGGACAGGGCTCTTCTCTCCATCGCTTCTGACACAGGCCTGCCACAGCAACAGCTAACAATTCTTTTAAATGGGTTGTGATAGGATCACATGTAGCCTGCCAGGAGTGGCTCCTTTGGCTGTGTTTAGTGAACACTAATTGTAACATAATTAGCACGTTCCCATTGCAG